ATGATACCGTAGAACGGGGTAATATGAGACATGAAGGAAAATCGAGACAAAGCGCCCTTTTTTTGGTTTTTGTCGTGTTGCTCTCAAGCAGTTGTTCAGAAGACCATCGTGAATTTTTTTCGTGATCTAGGAGGCCTTGGCAGCTCACAGGAAACGCACGAAGGCAATCGGAGACTCGCCAGGATTATTAAGAACCAAACGAAAATCCTCTAAATTCTGACAAGTTTTATAAAGTTCGTAAAAACCTCCCCAGAAACCTCGGTTGGAACTCGGGTTCTCGTCCGAACGAGGTTTAAATCTGTAGACAATCATGTCAACATAATCAGGACAAAATTTGGTTCTGTTATGTCTACTCCCGGGCCGCCTGTTCCAGATGGAATACAATTTTGTTACCTTGCATGGAAAATAGAGACACCTCTTTTCGTTTGAAACATGAGGCCAAACATACTCCACTGTTATTAATTTCAAGTAATAATGATTTTAACACGAATTGATTTTACTGCCTGACCGGCATCTATGCTCTTCGATTAGTATTTTCATGTGACAGGCACAACTCCATGACTTCTTAGACATTTTTCAGCTCTCTTTAGTGACACCCATTTTTCTTCCCTCCAGATTTTATCTCTTCTTCATTATGGCCCCCAATCATCTTAAAAATGAATGAAAAGAATTTAAAAAGCTCCAAACCCGCCTAAATGAGTTCATTTTCCATACTTCTTTACCATTTTTCTCTTTTGTCTCATATTACCCCACATTGCAGGGATATATGGGACGGCATTCCGAGGGTCATTGAAAGGTCCCTACTGCACCTAAAAATCTGAAATTTGGAGGGAGTGTAGCCAAAGGGTGAATGAACAAGTGATGAACACCTCAGCACCTCAAATTGAAATTAAAAGGGGGAAATTTACAAAAAAAAACCTCGAAATTTGTCTCATATTACCCCGTTCTACGGTACCAACAAAAGGATACTTGCGCTTAAAACCAAGCACTCATCAAGAAATAAAAAAATGTATCAAACATCGCTAAAAGTGAACTCACACTTTACAAAAAACTTAATAATCATATGAAAAAGTAATCATTCTTGAGATCTTAATGATCCTTCTCCTTCTCTTCTTTCTTCTCTTCTTCAACTTCCTTCTCCTCTTCTTTCTTTTTATCTAATTTCACTTTCAACCTTCTGACTGCTTCTTTGATCCTATCTTTTTCTGTGTCTGAGGCCCAGCATCATCAATAAGTCAGAAATAAAATTATTCAGAGATTACAATAAAAGAAAAACCTGGTCTACCCCTACCTAAGTTAACAGATAATAGTCTCAAATACAAGACCCTGACATCATATGGTTCAAATCGAGTACTTACAGAACTTGGCATTGGATACACTGGCAACAGGTGCCTCAATTTCCTGTGGCTCGTCTTGCTGCTCCTCTGACACCTCATCATCTGATGAGTCCTCCTCATTGTCATTGTCAGACTCGTCCACCTGTTAAAAATCCATCACAAACCCTTTATTAAGACACCTTAGACCTATTAAAATGAAAAAAAAAAAAGAAACAATGAAATAAATTTGACTTACAGCTGGGTAATCCACAGGGTGAGTTTTCTCAATGTGTCAATAATTTGTAGGTAGTTTGGGCACCCCAAGGGGATCATTTTCTACCAATGAACTAGTGGGCGCAGACGTCTAGGTACGGAGATAATTGGTGTTTTGTAATTAGCCTTCGCGCCTGCGAGGTAGGCACCCGCTGCCACTGATGGGCGCAGGACCTCACGTGGGGGTGTCGCGGGTCTAGGAGGGGTGCTTCGAGTCTCGAAGGGGTGCGGCGGACCTTTCAAATGTATTTTGGGAGGGGTTGCCGCGGGTCTCAAGGGGCTGTCATGGTGGCCCCCGTTACAGTGGATCTCACGGCTGTCTTTGCGAGGGTGGCGGGATTCCACGGATACTTCCGCGAGGTAAGTGGCACTCCCGCGAGTACTGCTAGTCCCGCGACACCCCCTCGACAGGTCCTGCCACCCTCAGTGGCACCGGGTGCCTACCTTGTAGGCGCAAAATCCAAATTCAAAACACCAATTATCTCCGTATCTAGACGTTTGCGCCCACTAGTTCATTGGTGAAAAATGGTCCCCTAGGGATGCCCAAACTGCCTGCAAATTATTGACACATTGAGAAAACTCACCCTGTAGGACCTCATCAGCGTCCTTAGGCTGCTTGCGTTTTCTACCAAAAATGCGTCCCTGGTCATCTTGCTCCTCAGAGTCCTTTGGCTGCTTGCTCTTCTTACCAAATATGCTTTCCAAGTCCCTCCAAGCTGATTCGTCTGGTTTCTTCTTACCTTTCTGAAAGGAGAAAGAGTAGACCAAACAGTGTGACGGAACAGCTCCCAAATTTCAACATCATAAGGAAAAAATTATCTACACACCTGAGACTTCAGGCTAAGCTTTGACCGTTTGGCTTCCTGAGTTAACTCACTGTCACCAAAAGCACTCTGCAACAAGCAGAACCACAAGATAAAAACAAACAAGATCATTTGGTGCAGGCCAACTAGTGCAGAAATAAAATCCCTTGCAACAAAGGACATCACTTTGGGCGAATCCAGGTCAACTTGAACGGGGTTTGACCCCAACCCCCTCAGAACTTGCTCCAAACAGTCTTAATTCGTTGGTCTATACCTAAAACCACCCCCAAAAAAATTTGGTTGAAAAATATTAACATTTGGCTGAGCTGTGGCACTTTTTGTTTTTTGGTCAATTTTAGTGAAATTAGTACAATGAAAATTTGAAAAAACAATTTTCTCTCAAGATAGGGATTTTTGAGGCCTGATTTGTTTGATATGAGTTGTCTTATGATAGACCAATGCAATTCCGGTCATAGACCCCACCTCACTCAATTTGCACTGGAGGCTGAAGAATTTCTAGTAATTTTACCTAAAAATCGAAATATTAAACCTTGCCCCACCTTTCAAAATTCATTTCTATGCATGAAAATCTACCTGAGGGCCCTGGCAATAACATATAAAAAATATGGGATGGAGTTTTTTATTTTAAGGAAATCGTTCCAGAAAGCGCTACTTTTGACTTGTCGATTTAGCTAAAACGCATGAAATTTCACCAAATGTAAAGTACGATGAGGTCAATCTTGTTATTTTAGTCTCTTTATGCAGTATCAGAGGCAAATGGAGTTTGATGGGAGTAAAAAAGAACATAAATACAATTTGCAAATGTACTACAAACACCAACTTTTGACAGCTTCTTAATAGGAAGTCCAAGAAAATATAATACGTAATAATCAAGTGGATCTGGCGGCATTGTTAATCGATTTTCACCTTTTACTTCTGTTGTCTGTCTCATTTTTGTCCACTTCTGTCCTGTCTTTTGTGTCTGGAGGGAATGCCAATTCTTATTGTTGAGCCTCCAAATCAGTTTGGTTTCCGCAGTGCATTTTCCTGATTTCCTCTAGTTTGAAAATTTTTAAAAGAGGATGACAATAGAGTGAAATAAGAAGATGCACACAATACAAACATCATTTTTACAATGCTCTGTCAAAGTGCACTGACCTGAAGATGATTCCCCTCTGACAGGAGAGGGGAACGAAACACGAAAATAATTTTTAAATCCATTCTCCATATTTCGCTGTGTTGGTGTTCCAAAAGGGTTTTAATCATTCTAGAATGTTGAAAAACTAAGGCCGATCTCCTTTCCAAACCCTTCTGCTCTTTATTTCGTTTTATTTGCTTGTCCCGTATTTGAGAGCCGCGGACCCGCAAGTAGGGTAAAGTATACAGTTACCGTCAGTTTAAGAGCATCGCTTTCTTTTCGGGGGCCTCTAGGGTAAGTTATGACATTTAGGCCCTCGCGACTTGTTCCAGACAATTTCTAACAGTCGTCACAGACACTCTATATCATCCCTCGGCATGTCACGAACCCCCTCTCTCTTGTGTTATGCCTCTTGGGCCCTTCATTTTAGACTCAACAGAATTTAGACATTTTAGACTCATGAGTTGCGAAATAACAACCTTTCAAAGCACCGAAGAGGACATCACGTAAATCACACGTGTAGATCACTGGGAAAAAGTGATCCGATTTCGTTCAAATTTGGTAGGGGTCCTCCTATGGTCTTAATGCACCAGAATATTAACTCCCCAACGATGCCCAAAACAGCAGTGATGTTTGAGGCCACCCTGACGATAACTGTCTTTCGGATGATTTCTTGGATACAGTTATCGGCAGCTCCCGATTGAGGACAAGCAAGAGGAATTTCTGTGCGCCGAGCACAGTATGCCCTCTTCAATAGGTGGGGAGAAAGAACCTGGCAAGGAGAATATTTTTTTCCGGCCCACTTTCACGAATTTAAGTAAAGATTGAACCCCTGTTACTAGCAGAAAAGATAAAAACGGGCGGCCGAAGCGGCCTCATTCTGCACTTGACTAGAAACATGGCTCTGTTGGCTGACATGCTCAATCGAACGCGATGCTGTCTCGGTCCTGCATGCTCAAAAGGTGTCTAGCGACCTGCATTGGCCGCATCACTAACGGACGCGTACTTGCAGAGCAGGACCAGGACCCAATTATTCGCCGAGATGACGATAACTGTACCCCTGCCGATAACTGTATAGTTTAACCTATGAGAAACTGGTAAGTGCTGCCAACCTGACCATGCTCATGACCTGATTCAAAAATATGTTTTGAATATTTCAAACGATACTAAGCAACGATTTGAAACAAACTCGTGTTGGGGGTACTAAGGCGGCGTTAAATACGAAATCTTGAAACTATAGCCACTGTAGTTGCTGAGAATCGTTGGTGAGTGCAAACAGGCTCACAGACGGACAGACGCACGACCAGTCACTTTTCAGCGCGCCCAAACACGGCAAGGGCTTCGCTATCGCTCAGCCAAAAAAATACTGCCGCCATATGGCACCGTACATGATTATCGACTGATAGTCCCGCGGGCGCGAGCAAAGCGAGATAGGGGATGGGGTGCGGACAAGTACGAGGCAGACACTGAACCACTGCAGTGCAATGGCAACCTAGACATCATGATCATCACTGGTAAGCGCGTGGTCCCCCAATTGCAAAACAAGCTAGGGCCCGCCCTTCCGTCGAACCGAGTTGCCAGCTCCGCTTCGCTGCGCCGGCAACTCGGTTCGACAGGGCGCCGCCCCAGCTTGGCCTGCCGGCGGCCTTTTCTCGGGCCTTCGGCCCTCGCATCAGACCCAACTTGGCCAGTCGAAGGCCCGGGCCTTCGGCCCGCTCGCATCACACACACCGTGAGCGGGTAAAGCAAAGTTATCGATGTACCATCGTGACTAAGGCCCGCCCTTCACAATATGCAATAGTCCTTACACTTTTTACTCCAACTGCCCTTAGAATATGCCCATTTCATTTGTCTCTTCGCCCTCATTCCGAACCCATATTTGCCATGCTACTGCAACTCCTTGCAATAGAGGCACAGCAGGAGCGCAAAACGAGTCCGTCGCACTTTTTCCCATAACTCATGAAGGCGGGCTCCTGGACCACCCTTCCGACCCCTCGTTGAAGAGGTCTTGCCAAGACCTATCCAAAACTTAAGTAAAAAATTTCAGTCGGTCGACCCCCTTTTTTCAAGATCCTGATGTGACTAATAGACGAAGTCGGGCTCCTGGACCCCCTTTCCGACCCCTCGTTGAAAAGGTCTTGCTGAGACCAATCGAAATCTGCAATAATTTTTTTTAGTCGGTCGACCCCCTTTTTTGAAGATCCTGATCTGGCCAACTTGTAAAAGCGGCCGATGGGGTCGGGACCAGGTCCATTCATCTTGTCTCGTCGCCCCGATTCCAAAAATACCCCTATGTGCCCTGCTAGCACCAATAATGGCGGAAATCCCCCTCCCGCTCATGTAAACCATGATGCACCTGCAGCAGCCCTTGTACGACCCGGACGGGATTTGCACCACCGGATTATTTGTTTGGACGGTACTCCTGAAGTACCCTCCAAATCTGGTTACTCTAGCTCAACTCCTTCCTTGTACACAGACGCCAACAACAACAACAACAACAACAACAACAACAACACACAGACACAAAGGCAAATGCATAGGCCCTCCCCCTATTTTTTGAATAGAAGGGCGGGCCAAAAAGAAACAAGGTGTTTGAACTGTGAAGATATTTTATACGATATGCAGAGAATTTTCTGTGCAAGATAACAACCTAACGGATCCGACGACATATTCGTTAAAATGTGAGCTTTGTCACGATCGTTCGAACACGATGCGGCATCGTCGATGCCCCATGCGTTGGAACCAGTGTTGTTGGCTGAGCGATAGCGAAGCAGTTACTCCAGTGGGGTTGGGAAACTTTTTCTGTCTGTCTGTTTGTCTGTCCGTTTGTCTGTCTGTGTGTGTACACTACTCCTCCTGAACGGCTCGGCCGATCTGGCTGAGATTTTGCAGGCTCATTAGGTATGTTCTTGGCTCGGCAAACGCAAAATTTTACTTTCCTAGCTCAACTGGTTCAGTTTTTATAGCCGAAAAACGCGTAAAAATGGCGAAAAATCGAGTTTTCTGCAGGTAGATCTCTCCTGTCTGGATGAAAGGGGGGTCTGGGGGGCGGAGCCCCCCAGCATGCAACAAGTGAGAAGTAACCGACGATGGACAAGCCAATACCTGCCGAAGGCAGGCTAGCGCCGCAGGCCAAGGTAGGTACGCCAAGCGCGGATTGGAGGAACAGGCCGCGAGACATCGCGAAGCCTGTTACGACAAGCCGCGGTCTGGCGTAAACCTACCTTGTTAACGTTACTTTAAAGAGTAAAGACTTTACCAGCGTTACCGTTACCTTTACTGTAACGATAACGGTAACGCGTTACTTTTTGAGAAATGAGTATATAAAGTAACGACGTTACCGTTACCAAAGACGAGTAACGCGGTAACGGCGTTACCGTTACCAAAGAGGAGAAACGCGGTAACGGCGTTACCGTTACCGCGAGGCATCAAAAAGAGCTACAAACCTATATTTTTCTCCCTTCCTCTCCCTGCTGTGGTCAGCTCATTTGACAAGGCGCTCAATCTGTTTTTGAGAGCAACAATTTAGCGTCCGCACTCAGAAATAAATCTTTCAATACTTGCACTTTTCTGACTGTAGACGCTTATTTGTTGCTCTCAGAAACAGATTGAGCGATGCATCACTTGAAAAAGAGGTCCCATCGGCCATGAATTGGCAATATTGAGAGAAGTAGGTGCAGAAGTTTACATTAAAACATGTTAATCATTTAAATTTTACTGTCTTTTCTTTTATTTTAAAATAATCCTAATTCACCCCAGCAATTTTAACCAGTAAAATTGTGGCTTTTAAGGAATTTAAGGATTTGAAGTAACGATAACGGCGTTTTGCGTTACCTGTAATGGTAACGCGTTACTTTTTCAGAAGTCGGTAAAGTAACGACGTTACCGTTACTCAAACCCGAAGTAACGGTAACGGTAACGCGTTACCTTTAAAAAGTAACGTCGACAACCCTGGTCCCCCCTTAAAGGCAATACTTTTTCGTAAGGTCGTTTATTGGCGATACTTAATTGTACCAAAAGTGTTGCCTTTGGATTCACAGTGTACAGTCTTCTGCGTCTCCTAGAAGACTGTGGAGTCGGAGAAGACTGTGCGGTCCTTAGAAGAATACGGTAAGGTCCTACGGAGAATATTGGCAAGGGGACTACGGAGAATATTGGCAAGGGGACTACGGAGAATTACCACAAGCTGATAACAGATTTTTCCGTAGCCTTTTGCCACATAGTGTTTGAGTATTGTCACTGAAATCCAAAGGCAATACTTTTAGTACCTTTTTTGGCGATACAATTGAGTATCACCTTCAAAACGGCGTAACATAAAAGTATCGCCAAAATTTGGCGATACTTTGAAGTATTGCTGCGATTTGGCAAAATACGTTGAGCAAATCAATGGGACAAGTTCTTAGTTTAATGCCGTGGTTTTGACAGTACTCCGAAGTATCGCTAAATTTTGGCGATACTTCCGTGTATCTCCGTTCTGAAGGCAATACTTTTCCGTAAGGCCGTTTATTGGCGATACTCAATTGTACCGCCAAAAAATGTACTTAAGTATTGCCTTTGCATTTGCAGTGGTCCCATTCTTTTCGACGTGAATAAGCTAATTTACGGGTAATTCACGTCCAAACGAATAGGGCACAGTGCTCAAAGGAATGTGACACTCTGTCACATGTCACATTCCTGGGATGAGGGTGCAATTCGAGTCACGTTCGTTTAAACGTAAAATAAAGCCGTGGTGAATGTGACATCATATTCAAACGAACGTGACAAAATCGGACAAAATTCACATTCCAGCAAATATGACGTTACATTTGTTGACTAAGAGTGAACAGTGAACACTTGGGTGTCTGCAATTAAAAATGTTTCCAAGCAAGGAACAAATTTATTTGCTCTTTGCCAACTTCTTCCGCTAGTTAAACAATATGCAGTTGCAGCTTTCTTTGCATGTACAAATAAATTTAAGGGACCCAACTTTAGGATTTAAATGTCACAGGTGATTCTGACAACGAAATGACACGGCACAAATTTATTGCTATACGGGAGAGTGGGGCGATGCGCCTTAAAAGAGTTATTGCATTATTAGTGCAATAAAAATTGTATTGCAAAAGTGCATGTATCACTTTATTGGTGTAGTTATCATTTTATCGCATCAAAATTGTGATATTCTGTGCCCAGACAGGCCAAAAACTAAGAGGCGGATTGCATTTTTACGCGATATTTTTAAATGCTGCGACAGATGCGATTTGAAAGAATCACAATAGGCTCTTTATCCGTGCAAATTGTATGAAACTTATGGGGCATTCCACGTCAAACCATCATGGTCCAAAACGCACCTGCTCAGATCCGGCTCCCAATTTTTTCTATCATAGCCTACCACTCAAGGACCACTCATATAAATTTTTTTGAAAAAATATGCAGAACTAAAGCCGTGGCGATTTTTTAAAATTTCAAAAAAAAATTCAAAACTTTTATTTTAGTTTTTTAAAAATTCTGCCTTTAGGCGCTCAAATGGGTCGAAAACAGTAAATGGCAACATAATAAAGTGAGAAACAAGGTTGGGGCCCCCAGTTCAGGGATCCTTAACTTAACCTAACATTTAACTAACACTGCTTTCATAACGTAACATAAGACAACGTTCGCTAAAGGTTATGGGTACGGACTTTTGGAAGTACTTCCAAAAGTATCTCTACACAAATTCGAAACACAAAAAAATAATTTAACCTTTTTGAAAAGATGTCAGAAGTTAAGGTTAATAACTTTAACTCTTACGATAACGTTATGATGCCCTTAAGAGGTAAGTTAAGGATCCCTGCCCCAGTTTTTGTCTAAAAGGGCGTTTTTGACTAAACGGTTTATTGAATTCTCAAAATACGCCATCTTACTTTTCGACCATATTGGTAGCAAAGGGCCCTAGGGGGGGTACTCTTAACTGCCAGCAAAATATTGGGGACGGCAATGCATAAACAAGAGAGATATTCTCAATAAACTCTAAAAGTTATCTTAGTGGATCGTCAAAAATTGACTATTTGACACCCATATTGTTCCCGTGCATTAAAATGTTGTCCTAGTGTCTGTCTTAACTCTCTGGAACCATTCCGAGGTGAAGGTGGGCATTACAAGAGTTGAGGCACTACACAGCGAGAAATCGTAGGCCTAGACACTAGGACAAACATTTAAATGCACGGGAGCAATATAGGTGTCAAATAGTCAATTTTTGACGATCCATTAAGATAACTTTTAGAGTTTTCTGAGAATATCTCTCGTGTTTATGGATTGCCGTCCCCAATATTTTGCTGGCAGTTAGAGTACCCCCCTAGGGCCCTTTGATACCAATATGGTCGGAAAGTAAGACGGCGTTTTTTGGGGAAATTTAAAAAAAACCCGGGTTTTTTTTAGTCAAAAACGCCCTTTTAGGCAAAGACTAGGGGCCCCAACCTTGTTTCTCACTTTATTATGTTGCCATTTACTGTTTTCAACCCATTTGAGCGCCTAAAGGCAGAATTTTTGAAATTTCAAAAAATCGCCACGCCTTAAGTTCTGCATATTTTTTCAAAAAAAAATTTATATGAGTGGTCCTTGAGTGGTAGGTTATAATCAAAAAAATTGGGAGCCAGATCTGAGCAAGTGCGTTTTGGACCATGATGGTTTGACGTGGAATGCCCCTTATCACGTTGGAAACAACGGAGGGAGGAGCATTTCGGCCTGATGCAAGCACGACATGAAGGGATACTTTTCGATAGGCACTTCCTTAACCACCTTCGCCATTTTGTTAAGCTTTACGCTGAAATGCGCTCAAAAACCAAAAGTGGAGAATTTCCTCGCGAGGTTATGGGGCCCGTATGCTGTCGATTAAATTTGACCTCGTTGAAAAAATAGTGTGGTCATCACGAATACAGTCAAGCTTTCGGAGGCGGAGGCCCAATTCTTTTGCCCGGATCAAACACGGAGGTCTCCACTTTTACGGTGCGGAGACAAGAGCTGTTACGGGGGGAACTTCAAATCTCGCGCCGCCTAGAGGCTGACAGAGCTGTCACCAAGCCCGCTCACGGCCATCTGGAGCGCGCGGCGCGATGATGAGGTAGTAGCGACAGCGGTAGCGGCGCCCGGCGGGCCCTTCGCGAGTGCCTCTCCTCGCGCGGACAAGGTTCTCCACTCACTCTACAAAAAATGTCCTGTCAACCCCGTTAATTTTTTACCAATGTTTGCTGTTATGCGATTCACGGCTTTTGGGCTGGAACTAGTTCACGGCATTCACTGTGATCTCGGTTACAGTGTTCACTGTGATCTGGCCTCAGTAAACGCCGTGAATTGGAGCCTGATTTGCAGTACTTCGGTGCTCCCCGGGCGTCAAACTCACAGTGTTTACCCCTCAGTATCAGATCACAGTGAACACCGCGAACAAGATCACAGTGAATCCCGTGAGCAGATCACAGTAAAATGTGGATTGACCTCAGTGAAAATGGTAATAAATTAACGGCATTACGGGACTTTTTTGGTAGAGTGCTTGTGTTTCACATTCGACCTCTTTGTGAGACCAACTTCAAAATAATACTGATTTTGGATCGATTTTTCAGTATGGAATTGGCGCTTCGGTGTCCGCCTTTCCCTGGCATGTTCACTGCTTCAAGTGACCTTCGGACGTAAGATTTATTGTTGACAGCTCTGAAATAATTCACTGTAGTATGTAGTATGCCACAAATTTCTTACTGGCTGGTTACAATTTTTCACTAGATTTGACGAAATTGTCTCCAGTTGGTAACATAAATTGTCCATACACATTTCATGTCAACAAAGATGTATCTTGCTCCACAGTGGTTGGCTTTCTGCGTCGTTCCGGCGTTCAGGGGCAGGTGACAGTGGGAGAAGTGAGCAAGGAGACGGTGGAACTCTTGTTACCAGCGGATTGCCGCCTCGTTCAAGTCTGCACTCAAGTCTGGGACGTAAAGAATGGCGAGTTCGACGAAAGTGAAAATTGTTCGCTGACAAATTCGTCAATCATGGCCGATAAGGGGCACGCATACCTTGCAGACCTAGAACCGTGCACTACCTACAGGATCGCGGTGCAGGCCCTCAATGATACCGTCTCGACCTGGCTGGGCCAGGTCGACGTCTTCACCTTCGACATGAATCATAAAGGTGCGTGCACAACTGCTTACACTCTCAAGATCCCAGGGAGCTGATTCTTCGTAAGACGAACAAAAAGCTAATATCAGGGGGTTGCAACAGCCTCGGGAGAGCGTGAAGCGATGATCGCCACGTCAGTGCAGAGGTTGCGCATTTCTTCGAGATTATGAAAACCAGACTGTGTTTGTCAAAACGTTTTGCACCGATGGAAAGAGCTTGAAATTAAGGGTGCATTAGGCTGGCTCATTGCCCTTCCCAAAACTCTCACTTACCTAAAACTAAAGTGAAGCAAAAACACTGAAAAACACGAGAAATCTTAAAATGTATGAAAAAATCTCGTCTGCGCCATGTGGATGTAAAGGTTTGCGCCGTTGTGTTCGGTTGAACTGAAGTATCGGGCAGTCTACTAGGCCTAATGCGCCCCAAATTTTGTGCTCTTTTGATCTGTGCAAAGAATTTTGCAAACAACGGCCTAGATTTCACAATCGAAGAAAAGTCAATAACCCCTGCTCCTCGCTCGAGCATGGCTTCACGCGCTCCCTAGGCCGTTGCCGCCCCCCTGCTAATATGATGACAGCAAAGTACCCCACCTTGAAGAGAAGTACTGTATTCTCGACAGTAGGTTGTCTTCGTAGTTATCTTAAAGTGAAATGCATCGAAGAAAATTTAGGTCGCCGCTTTGTTTGATGTGAAACACAGGAGATTTTTAAAAAGTGATGTTTGTTTGGTAACCTTACGCAACGGCAAAGGTAATGTCTGTGATTTCCACACTGAGAATCCAAACGCGATGAGTACGGCGTCAATTGGTGCGATGCAAAAGCATCGGTGCGATGCAAAAGCATCGGTGCGATGCAAAAGCATCGCACATGAAGTGCGATGCCTCCCCATACCTCCCCATTCCCATGCATTAGCATAGGGCACTTTCGGGATGCATCGCACGTGCGACATGGCTATCGCATCGCACGTATGGTGCGATATCTCAGCTGCATCGCACCATACGTGCTATACTCATCGCGCTTGGAATGTCAGTGCAGGTGGTTCCTGGAAAATATTCCCAGCTATCCACACTGTTTAAAATTAGCTCCAAAATTTTATGGAGGAAAACTCTATAATCACGTTCATGGAGACTCCGTCTAGTTTCCATCTTTTTTCGGAGAGATTTTCTCAGGGCTTAAACAAATTTTCTTCGGAGCATTACTTGGGTCCTGATGGGAGGTAAAATGAAAGTCTTTTCTGACTTATGTTAACGAGGGCATCGACGAACCAACTGAAATTGCCCAAGAAGGGGTCATCTCCTCAGAGCTTATTTGACTTATAATCCTGTACACTCTCAGACGTATTGACTTTTTTCTCTCCATTATCGACTTTTTGTCCTTTGCTTACGTAGTTTTTTAAGCAGCAATAATATGTAGTATTTCCTTTGTAACCATGTACAATTTTGTTCACTTTAAAGACTAAATAGTCATCAATTATTGACTGTTTTTGAAGTCAATTGCGTAGTGACTCTTTGACAATAGCAAATTGACTTTAAGTCAATATCATGAACGAAATCTTACATAGATATTGAGGAAATAGTTCTTTTTATTGCTGTGTAAAATACTCTTTAACATAAAAGACAAAAAGTCAATAACAGTCTGAGAGTGTAGGTCCCCCCTATTATTATGAAAACTGAGCTGAACAAGGAGGGGATCACCTTTCCCTCATACTTTGCCTGGTTGCAAACCTTTTTTATTTTCGTGATTTCCTGATAGTAAAGTATGCATTTATGTTAAAAATTTCGAAATTTTTTGGAAAAAAAAGCCCAAAAAACCCCAATGATTCTACCTTTTGGCCCGCCCTTCTATTCAAAAAAAGGGGGAGGGCCTATGCATTTGCCTTTGTGTCTGTGTGTTGTTGTTGTTGTTGTTGTTGTTGTTGGCGTCTGTGTACAAGGAAGGAGTTGAGCTAGAGTAACCAGATTTGGAGGGCACTTCAGGAGTACCGTCCAAACAAATAATCCGGTGGTGCAAATCCCGTCCGGGTCGCACAAGGGCTGCTGCAGGTGCATCAGGGTTTTACATGAGCGGGAGGGGGATTTCCGCCATTATTGGTGCTAGCAGGGCACATAGGGGTATTTTTGGAATGGGGGGCGACGAGACAAGATGAATGGCCCTGGTCCCGACCTAATCGGCCGCTTTTACAAGTTGGCCAGATCAGGATCTTCAAAAAAGGGGGTCGACCGACTAAAAAAATTTATTGCAGATTTCGATTGGTCTCAGCAAGACCTTTTCAACGAGGGGTCGGAAAGGGGGTCCAGGACCCCGACTTCGTCTATTAGTCACATCAGGATCTTGAAAAAAGGGGGTCGACCGACTGAAAATTTTTACTTGATTTTTGGATAGGTCTTGGCAAGACCTCTTTAACGAGGGGTCGGAAGGGGGGTCCAGGATCCCGCCTTCATGAGTTAGGGGAAAAAAAGTGCGACGGACTCGTTTTGCGGTCCAGCTGTGCCTTTATTGCAAGGAGTTGCAGTAGCATAGCAAATAAGGGTTTTTTCGGAATGAGGGCGAAGAGACAAATGAAACGGGCATATTCTAAGGACAGTTGGAGTAAAAAGTGTAAGGACTATTGCATATTGTGAATAGAAGGGGGGCCTGAGTCACGATGGTACTCGATAACTTTGCTTTACCCGCTCACGGCGTGTGTGATGCGAGCGGGCCGAAGGCCCGGGCCTTCGACCGGCCAAGTTGGGTCTGATGCGAGGGCCGAAGGCCGAGGAAAGGCCGCCGGCAGGCCAAGCTGGGCCGGCCCCCTGTCGAACCGAGTTGCCGGCGCAGCGAAGCGGAGCTGGCACTCGGTTCGACGGAAGGGGGGGCCCCCAGCTTGTTTTTTCGGAAATTTCTGAAGGTGCAGGAGCCTGGGAGTCCCAGGTGCTCCTTCCCTCGTTACGTGACATGCAGCAGAGTGATTGTCTACAGCATATACGATTGTAAGGGACGTGCTCGTCGACCCAACCAACGCCACGACCGTGGACGTGACCTGGAGCCCGCTGACGGCTGGCACACTGGGACTCCGCGTCCCCATCGAGCAGTGCGTCCGGGGATACGTCGTGAGGGCGTTCCTAAAGGAACTAAGGTATCTCGAACCCAAGAAGGCCGTCGTCATCGCAGTGGAGGGAACCGAGTCTTCCCATGCCACGGTGCCGGGCCTCTTGCCGTGCACGGAGTACCTCATCCAGGTGAAGGCCAGCCTCCAGACACAGGGGTGGTCGGCGGACATAGATTGGCCGATACTGCAATCTCAGGCAGTGCCCGCCAAGATGCCGGGAGGTGGTAAGTAAAACACCGACCAGGGGCAAGGCAGCCGTCTAGCCGTCAGCGGTGCGCATCTCCGGAAATGAAAGTAGATCGACTGAAATTTAGTCGTTTTTGACGCCGACTAAGAATAAAGTTCCAGAACACGTCAATCGTGCACGTGCATGAGTCGATAGAAAAAATGTCAAAATATGAGTGAAATGAAATAAAATTTAGGGTAAGGTTACCAAACATGGATCACTTTTTAAATAATCTTCTTATATCGAAATTAAGTATGGGTTGACTACTATTTTTGAATCTTATGTTGATGTTTACCTCACTGGTCGTATGGCTACCAAAATGGTACCTCTAGCTCGAATACTTTGGAAGTTGTGAGGACAAGAAAATATGGCTTTTTTGCTAAGGTTAGGTTAGGGGGTCCAATCATGGATCACCCACCAGCGTTTGGACACAAAGCAAGGTATGCATTCAGTAGTCCCAAAATATCAAAGTGGTCCGTCTAAAGTGCACGATAAAAAATTTTGAAGTGACGCGGTGTTTGGGCCCAGAATCAGGGGTGAAAAAATCACCCTTTTTAACGCATTTTTCCTCGATTTTGGGGGGCCTTTTTAGTGTCTTTCTAAAACGCAACCTGCAGAGTAAGAGAGCAGTTGAAAGAATTTCACATAAAGTCAAAGGGCAGTTAAGAAAGGGAAAGCAAAAATTTAGAATCTGGCCACTGGTTTTTAGATATAGACCCCAAACAGAAATGGTCCAGTTTGGTACCCCGATCCATGTTCGGCACTTTACCCTACTAGAATTTTCGACCAAAATATTTGGTTTGCTCCCTTCAGTCGGCTCTTGTGACGTCAGTAACTTTCACGTCTCAGAATTGGGTGACTTGACTATTTTCTGAGTTTTAGATGCTGTGTTTTCGAGGTCGTTTTTGAGATCACTAAGCCCCGCCCCCCCTACACTGTTAAAAAAAAATCTTAAAATCAGCCCAAATTTTTGTAAGACCTAGTGGTTGATTTCTGAATTAAGACCAGAAGTATGAAAAAGAAGAATCCTCGGATGTTTTTAAAGACTTTCGCAGTCTTAAAAGCAGATTCAGACCATCCAGACAAAAAGTTGACAGGGGTGACTGAAAATTCAGACTAAGTACAAGACCATGAAGTCTGAATCGCCTTTTCAGACTATTCTCCTGAAAAGGAAGACCGTTGATCTTAAATTTCAAATGGTTGTGTATTTTCAGACCATAGGTCTGACACGGGAGACGTATGTTCTGAAATGTCAGACGGGTTGCCTCACTTGACCAAATTTAACCGCAATTTTTGTGAGCTCGATACAAAATCTTAAATATTCACGAACAGCCCAAGTTGTCCGCAGTTTATCATCCCGCAAACGCGCTTGGTTTTTATTTGGGGCCCCCCAGCGTCCAGCGAGCGCGTTTGGAGTCATCGGATCTGCAGGCGTGCTCTCAGAGCGGTCCCCGGGTGTAATGGATAGCCCGCAAACCCGGACGGGCGAGGGAATACCGATTTGGGGTTTCGAAAAGAGCGGCCAAAGGGGTTCAAAAATTTTCGCAATAGAGTGAAGGTTCAACGAATTTTTGTTTTTTTCTACCAGTGGCCGTGTTTAAAAACAGCCACCAAATCTTTTTTAAACCCCCAATTCAAAAAATTTTAAAAGACCCGGGGTCAATTTTAAATTCAAAACCAGTAAAGGAAACAAAAAACCCAAGCAAATTTCCAATAAAAAGTTTTTGGATCCCCGCAGGGAACGCCACCAGGGGCCCCCTTCCTCGTCCCCTTTTTCCAGTCGGGGAATTTTTAACCCGGGGTTGGGGGGAAATTTTTTTTGGCTCCCCTTTTTTGGGGGCAGGGCCCGCATTTTTTAATGCCAGGGGCCCCCCGAGCGCGTCTTGAGCCCCCTCCCCATAGGAACCGTTTTGGGAGGCCCCCTGGGATCCGTAGGCACGACAACAGGTGACCATGGTCCACATAAATGTCTGCACCTGCGAGATCCGCACCCTCTCCGAGCCGAAGCCCTCCGTGGCCCCCACCGTCGCCACTACCCCCAGCAACGGCGATTTCCAAGTCTGCAGCACCGCGGTGAACGCTACGGGGCGCCTCAGGACCATCGATGGGGCCGTGGTGGGGGTGACCTCGACTCAGAAGAGCATCGCTACGTCCGACCCTCCTGTCTCGCCCGCACCGGCTGCCAACCCTGAGCCATGCGTGCCAATGTGCCAGCCGTGCAAAACAGCAGGTAGGGCTTCAATAAACCAGCTAATGCCTAGGGGCCGTACATTTATTATTATTATTATTATTATTATTATTATTATTATTATTTTATTATTATTATTATTATTATTATATTATTATTATTATTATTATTATTATTATTATTATTATTATTATTATTATTATTATTATTATTTAAAATGGAATTCACGGGATTTTATTTATTAAATTTGTATGAGCTAAGGTAAGACTGAGGCAACTGTTAATTGAATTGGAGAAAATTCAAATAGTGCGAACTGCGCAAGCGGCCCAGGGCGTCAGGGTTTACTAAGGGGCAAAGAGGGAGGTATACAGTGTCATGCAGCATCACACTCAAAGCCTGCAATCAAAGTGTTCAGGCAGCGTGCTGTGCATATTAAAACAAAAATCTCAACATCGACAAACAGTCAAAGACGCCAGTTCTTGCGTCAATATCACACTAAAAAAAAAGTCTCGATAACCAGAATTCTGGTACCAAATACCAGACTGTCTGATAGAATATAACTCAACTAGAATTCTGGTAAAAAATACTAAACTGTCTACATAGCCTCAGTCTGGTAAACCGTACCAGATTTATAGTCACCCTTACAATGCCGCCGGGTCCCCTTCTGGTAGTTTTTACCAAACATCCTGGTTAGTTCATGTGCTTGCAAAACTGAAGAAAGAAATCCAAAATTTAAAAAAAAAAAATATTTTGTAGCATTGAAACCTGATGTAAGAGATTTCCCTTTACGAATCACCTCTAAATCAATTTCCCCTCCTTTTCTCCTCCGGATTCGAACCGGGATCTTAATTGTGACTGAGCACGTTACCACTGTGCCACCACGTCGCCTTTGGGGCGGGGGATCCCCACCTGGTGACTCTCTTCGTGCTGGCTCAGGGAAATACTCCCCGTGTTTCTTCCCGGGTTTAAGACTCCGAAAAAACGAAACCGGTTGCAAATTAATTTTTTACACGCTAACATTTCAATTGAACCAAATGTTTCGAAGTTTTTCGTATGGCGCCAATTTTGAACAGTCTAGTAAAAATTTTCTAGGATTATTAACCAGACACCTGCACTGCAGGAAATAACCACAACAAAAGTACACAAATTTCTGGCAAATTTTTTATCAGGTTTTTATTGTACTTTCAAAGTACAACAATTTTTGTACAAAGTACAATGGAACCGGCATGACGAGTGTGGGCAGTCCCCGGGCCCCGTTGTGGTTTGTACAATTTCGTTGTACTTTCTACAATCCTGTTGTACTTTCATTGTACAGTTTTTGTTGTACATTTGTTGTACTATTCACACTTTTTCTTGCAGTGTGGTAAATGTCACAACACCCGATCTGGTTACTTCAACTGATCATCTGGTAAGAGATACTAGGATTCTCGTATGCGTAACTAATACTCGTTTAACTAGGATTGGTCTGGTACTTATAACCAGACTTTTTTTTCAGTGCAAAAACAAGTTCGGCCTTTTTTGTGGGGCTCCTACACTGATAAAAATTTTGTCGTAACTTAGCGACACATTTATCGCTAACTTTTTTAGCGACAAGATTTTTTGGGAACGAATAGCTTGTTAAAGTAGTCGTATTTGGGAAATAAGGGATAATTTCACAACGACTAACTTGTAATAATGCCCAACAAAAAACACATCAACGACAAATATTGAAAGTCCAAAAGAAATTTTGTAATGTCTGCGACAATATTCATAGAGTACTTTTTTCGCTAAATTTATTGTGCATGGTTTTTAAATTTTAAAAATAGTAAATTTTTTTAGACTTGAAGAACAAAATAGATGATTATTCATAATATGCTTTAATTGAGCAGATAATTGCAAAAGATGTTGTTTCCACACAAAATTTTATCGTAAAGAGTGATAACAAGAATTTTGTTCTTTAACGACAAAATGTCGCTTACTAGACTCAACGACATTTGTTTCGCTTTGGTTCATGATGAAATTCTATGTTTTGGAACGACTAAATTTTCACTCATCTGATTGTTTCTGTACAACCATTTTTTAACAGTGTACAGATCGGCCTTTCCGTGCGGTCGCTCCACAGAAACGCATTCCTGCTCGGATGCGTTGATATGCAGTTGGTATAAACTGATGTGTGCCAAGCACGCGGACACGCACTTCTTTTCAGGCATGCCGGTGCCTGAGTGGCGGCCATGCAGCAAAGAAGTGTGAGCCGCCATGTATTGTGTTTCGAGTTTGCAGAGTGGTGCCAAAATTTTGGCTCTTAACTGATTTGTATTTTCCATGCGCACCCGCTGCTGTGTTTCAAGTCCCTAAGGGACACGACAAGTACCGATTCAATGTCAAGCATCGCCCGTAATTATTCTGTTTAGGCCCCTGGCGGATCGACGCCTCTCAACAGCAGACAACCCTCCCACCTGGCAGGTAATAATTTTAAGGCCCGTCGCTAAGTAACGCATAAATTGACACATCGTAAAAACAATTTCGCAACTTCGGTGACGTCGACGTCTTGTCTGAAAGTCGAAAGATTACAAAATCCTGGAGTCATTCTGGCGGGCCCTGGAGTAGTAGCTCTATCGAATTGGCCCATGTGGCGACTTTCAATCGTCATTTAATGGGAATTGCGAAACTAAGCAAGCCAGGCTGTGCCAAAGATTATTCGCATGACTTATGAAATCATAACTCGCCAACGTCAGGTACAAATGAGTTGGTTCGCCGAGATGTGGAAATTTGAGACACGGGATTTCCAGGACTTTTATGTGCGGCTTTTCGGATAAAATTTTGCAGGTTCATTCAAGATGGCTCTAGAATGGTCCCCAAGAAATATTAAAGCTTAATTCGTTCCAGTTTTGTTACTCGTTCTTTACACCCTCATTCAAAATTTAGGTTAATGTGAAGAGAACGAGTATTGTGCTCAAAATCGGTTTTTTTTAGCTACATGATTCAACTCGCTATGCACTCAAGGAAAACCATATTGTAATGATGTTGGCACCCCGTAGTTGGCGGCCGTGCGCCTCCTCTGTTGCTATGACGACCATGACTGTTACCCGCGGTCCCTGCCCTGTCCTGAGCCTCTCCTAGACTACCAATACATCCTCCATGCTGACCTCCGTGCCCTCCTTCATGCTGCCCGAATCCCCGAACCCTCCATCCTTACATTGGTGTCAGAAGTGGGATGAGTGGATTCGCTGACTCTGCAACGGTTTGGGCTTCAATGGAAAGTAGTGTTCAAAAATTTCCCCGGGAACAATCATTCGGGGGAATATTCCCGAGACTTCCCGGGAATTCCCGGGAATATTCCCATTTGGGCCCGGGGAACATTGCCATATGAAACCCATCACTTTTGATAAAAGTTAAATTTTTAATACGAAATTTTTGATAGAAAACTAATTTTTGATTACAAAACGTTGTTTTGTTCTCTTCTGAAAGAAAAATGGAAATACACTCATGTGTTTCATAATTTTTGCTTGATACCTTGCGTGTTCTACATTTTCCTGCAAAAAACCAGCTGTTTTTAGCCATTTTTTAAATTCCGGGAATTTCCCATTTTTGGGGTTTGATTGTGCCCGGGAACGTTCCCGGAATTCCCAAAATTTCCCCGGGGAATATTCCTACCCTTTAGAACACTAAGGGAAAAGTGCTCCGAGTTTCCCCGAGGTAGGGTTAGGTAGCCCGGCCCCGGCAAGCAAGTCCTGCGGCGTCTCAGCGGCCGCTGCGCTTGGAGGATACCCGCCACACTGGGCCCGGACATCCCTCGGCGCACGCGCTGCAGCTGCGCCGCCTCTCTTCGAGAAGAGCATGAGCGTGATGACGTCGGACGCGGTTCCTGTTCATGAGTTAGACCGGTATGTCCCTGCCCCTACATGTTGACGAGGCGCGGTCGTGTGGAGTATTCTGTGGCCAGGTCATCACCGAGTCGGCTGAGAATCGTCGGCAACGCTGCCCGAGTCTGTCCAAGGGAGACCCCGCGCGCCGCCACGCCCCCGCGCGCCTCCCCGCCCCCGTGGGCCTCCCAGAAGCGCCCCTTCACGCCCCGCCGCTGCGCTCTGCCGCTGCGCCCTGCTGCACCGCGCTGCCTGAGCCCCGGATGACGACCACGACGATGTTGGAGTAGATCGGGGAAGGGCGAGTACCCCCGCAACGTGCAGCGATGGTCGACGGAGAAGGTCGACGTGGCCGTGTCGGCGAAAGGGGTGTGCCGTGATCGACAGTGGCGTTGCCAAGGTGCGCCCTCCACTCGATTTCGGGCCCGAGGCCGGTGGAGAGCGACCTTCGGGACTCACTTGCTCGCACGCGCCCCTTGGACCTAGTCGGACAGGCAGTCGGGGACGGGATGATTCCCCCGCACCGTAGTTGTCATCGTGCTGGGTGGACGGTGGGCTCCCCCATGCACCGGACGCTCAGTTCGCTGATGTCCGCAACGTCTGAGGTATGCGCCCCCAGCTGCCGCTGGTTTGACGGCGTGTTTGGCGAGGACGAGTGCCGCCGTGCTGTGTTCCGTGGAGGAAAGTGGAGGCGTCCGCTGGCGGTGTGTCCGCCCATCGTGGGAGCACCGAACACTCCTCCTCGATCTCCCCTACCCATGTGATTTGACCCTGTGCGCTAGCGACTTGCGTTGCCCTGCCCTGTGTTGTGCGCTGTACTTGTGCGCGTGCGCTGCGTTTGCGTTTGTCTAACCCCCTGTCCACGTCTAACCCCTGTGACTGACGAGGTACCTCGGACTTGACTGCTACGCTTTGGGCCCCGACGGTTGACTGCTACGATGTTGCCTTGTTTTCTTGTGACCCCATCCGCAGCCCAGCTCTGGGAGCACCGTGCTCCTGCACCTTGTGCCCCTGCCCTTCAACCATCGCCCTCACTTCTTGCGCGAAGGGGAAGGATTGGAGTGGCCCTGAGTGATTCTGGGTTTCTTCGAGTGCTGGAGCGCAGTCGGCGCGTGCTACGGCCGGACAACGCCTGTGTCTGCAAGTCGGGACGCGTCGTGACGCGGTGGCGGTGGACAACGCGAAAAAGGTGGTGGTAGACTTGGATAGCCCTGAGCGTTTTGAGACGTTACGTGCGGTGTCCGTTGAACCGTGGTGTGTGCGCGCGCGCTCCGAGCGAGTCGACGTGTATAGTGCGCCAGTGCGCGCCGAGACACAGTCAAAGCTTCTGGAACTTGCAGGAACAACTCCCCTGCTGCCGCGCCCCTGCCTCACGAACGAGTCCTGCCCGCTGGAGGAGTCTTCCCGAATTCCTGGTCCATCTCGAGACGCCCCGCATCCCGCTTCCCTGCCACGCTGCAACTGGCCCGAGTGGTCTGCAGAAGTCCCTGGCTGACCCGCCGATGGATCTGGCCTGCGCTAAGTCTGCTAAGTCCACGCTACACTTCATCGAGACGTACTTCCCGGCCCTTTTCAAAAAGGGGGGGTAGTGTAATGATGTTGGCACCCCGTAGTTGGCGGCCGTGCGCCTCCTCTGTTGCTATGACGACCATGACTGTTACCCGCGGTCCCTGCCCTGTCCTGAGCCTCTCCTAGACTACCAATACATCCTCCATGCTGACCTCCGTGCCCTCCTTCATGCTGCCCGAATCCCCGAACCCTCCATCCTTACAATATGTAATGTACTCATTTGAAAGATCAAAGCCTCCTCTTTAAGGCGTAAATGAAGTATTTTCATTTCCCTATGAAAGTTTTTGAGCAAATGAAGATTGAAAATGTTTATTAAAACTGGCTGGTGTCTAGTAATGAGAGGTTATAACACTTCGTTTTTTCGTGATTCATATCGAATTGGCATGTGCCATAGCAAAAATCCACCTCCCTGTGCTTTGTTTAACATTTTTCATTTGAGGATTATCTCTCTTAGCAAACAACATTTAAAATATCTGCAGTTTTTCAACCTTCCTTTGGACGGCCTGCCGCTACATCGGCGACCCGTGGCGCCACCACGCGGATTTCAAACGAACTACTGTAATGGCGGTAGAGTTTGAACGTACTTTCATTTCGAGCTTAACAATTATTTAACCACCTGGCCACTTTTGATAACCACTAGATATCCTTCATTCACAAAAAAATGTGTAAAGAACGAGTCATTTATTTAATATCAAGTCATTGATATTTCGCACCATCCTTTAAACTTTTTTTCTTTACTTCTTGTTTCAATTGGCTTAAATGTTGAAAGGATACTTTGGGTCGAAGTTTGTTACACGCGCGTCCACTTTTTGTCACATTTGCGTCGACGTTTGTAACATCTGCGTCGACGTTTGTCACACGCGCGTTGACGTTCGATACATTCAAGTAGTTTGGGTGGAATTTCGAAGCGGTCAAAACTGACATCTATTTATAGAAATCGGTTCGTCTGATCAGGACAAACAAAAACTCCTAACACATGTTACAGGCTTCACTGAGAATAAAGAGCATGATCTTAGCTAAAATTATGGGTGAGGAATTCTTTACTTACCCAAATTTTGTGAGGAAATTTTCCTTGGCAAAAAGGAAGGTCTGTATTAAATCCAATTACCAAGTCACCCACCGCTCAAAGAATCGTTCCTTGAACCCAAACAAAAAAATCTTTCACTAAATTGGATTATTTATTCATAAATACATCTATATTGGATTACCTAATCATGATTTTAGAAAATTTAATTTTACGCACATTGCAATAGAAGTCACCCGGAAAGCCAAGACAATTAACAGTCTTCAATTTCCAAAAGTTTTCGCAAGTTTTGATTTCTTAAATTTTAAAAAAATGTCGAAGTAAAACAGTGGCAACAAAGGCGAAAACTTCTATTTTACAACAATTTTTACCCCCTCCCTCCGTGCACGACCTAAAAATTCCCCCATGTCAAGGGAGGGCGGGAAGGGAACGAAAACGCAAAATTCCACATTCAGCTATTTTCCTCTTTGAATGGAAGGGTTTTTAATCATTCTAAATTTTAAAAAAACTTTTAGTAGTAACCCCTTTGTTTTTAGTTTGTTTAGATAAGTGGTCCCGCTTAGGGGCGGAAGGGGCACCCGGAGGGAAAAATTGGGTCAGCCCAGTGCTAAACCCAAAGTAATTACCTGTTAAAGATGTTTTAATTTTTCAACAAAATTGTTAATCAGTAAACCCCCCTCAATTTTAGGAGAATCAGGTGTGAAATTGGATCATTTTCAGTAGGCAAAACGGAGGAACAAATAAACACAGAAAGCAGACCAGATTTTTGGAGCGAAAGGAAGGGTTCGTATCGCCACCAAAAAAAAGGGTGGGAAACCTCAATTCCCCCCCCTCCCCCAACTTTTTTAAAGTTGAGGCCCTGGATGGGTTTTTTGATTTTAGCATAATTTTTAGGACTGTATTTGTTTCCTGTACACTATTCTTCTGAACATTTTCCGTGCCATTCTTCTTAAAAGTGGAGCATTTTAACCATTAAAGCGACTGAAATACCTTGAGAAAGCTGATGAGGTAGTGTCGAATGGTTGCAGCAAGCGTGCGACGATCTCGAATTGCTTTGAAACGATCCGACATTTTGGCGTGCCACCAACAAAAACGCCACGTTCAAGCGTTTTCTGCGTCCCCAGACCGACGACGGCTCTTACGTTCAACTCGACCTGCTGGTCGCGTCCCGGCGGCGAGGTTCGCCTCTTCGCCCCGGCCGCGGCGAGGTGCTGCGGGGGGATGCTCGACGTCCTCCCGGGCGGCGAAACGTTTACGCTGACGTTGGAATCGCTGGGCGGCGCGCCTAGCAGCTCTGGCCAGCTTCTGACAACGCCACCCAGGGGTAAGCGTGCCTCTTTTCAGAGCATACGCTGAGAATCCAAACGTTTAGAGTGTAGCGTCAATTGGAGGGATGCGTCTTAACCCGTTTTCATCGCACCGAATGATGCGATACTTTGGTACTACACGCGCACTGAGAAAACCTTACAAACTTTTTAGGCCTTACAAAGAAAAGCAGTTTGTTATAACCAAGTATTTTGAGCATACACATGTTACAAAGAAAATACTTCGTGAATTACGAACTATTTCTTCGTATAACAAAGTAATTTATTTTGTATAATGTATGCTCAAATTTACTTCGTATACGGAAGGAAGGATTGCCCCCTTCCCTCCGCGTTTGCATGAACCATCTCGGTGAAACAACGCAATGCCAGCGAATTGGCCCTGACTGCTGTCCGTTGGCAGCACCCAGCCCGGTCTCGTTCGACATCGGGACAGCGACCACACGGAGCTCTGCGACGGCCAGTTGGCGAGGGACTTGACCATCGTGGGCTACCCCCGTGCGAGTCCAACGGCGGGCCCATCGAGACGTACGCGTGACCCTGACGTACACCAGCGAAGACAGGGAAGGCCAGCCCCAAGTCTCGCAGAGATTCAACATCCAGCCGGTAGGAGGCGCAGCGCAGTACCGGAGGACGGGGCAATATGAGACAATTTTCTAGGATTTTTCTCATAAGGGGTGAATCACAGTGTATATTTACTTCAAAGGCCCGTTTCAGTTCTACATTTTGAAAGAACAAAATTGCCCTTTTTCCGTTTTTCGGGGCATTGGATTTTTTTTTTTTCAACAAATTTTTCAGTTCTGGAAAGCCCTTCCCAAAATGATACTGGTGTTCCCCTCTTAACGATTACCGTAATTTCATTGTTCCAGACATGTCCAGGCGGTCTTCTCCCATCAAACACCCTTCACTTGACGCCGAAAACACGTGGAATCCGTACGGGAGAAAACCCCAAAAATGCAACAATCGAAGGACCGTTTTGGGTAACGGAATTTGGGGCAAATAAATGTGCCACTTTCTTAACCCTTCATATCCCAAGTCGGAATCTGCCTTCCCAAAATGAAAAAATTCTGACCAGGTATTGGGCAATAAAAAGGGCCATAAAAAAATAAGCCTAAATGTCTGGGAAAATGGTCAGGGAAAAAAGTTGGGACCCCCTTTAAAAGACAACCACGCTCATAAATCCGACAATTCTCCGTCTCGTTCGAAAATCCACCCCGGGGAAAAAGACACGGTAAATCCGATGTTCTAGTTGATTTTTTTAAGGGCTGCCGTCGTTTTTTTAACAGGAAACCGACACGGAAGCCCTACTTTTTTTAAAATGTACATTTTTGGGAATCCCCCATTTTTAAACCTATCAAAAATGATATTTTGTTCGTCGGTTGACCCACTTTTTCCGTTCCTATGTCCAACTGCTAAGTCATCCGGGCCCCTCTTCCGACCCCCGTTTGGGAAAGGGCTTTACGAGCCAGAAAGGTGCAAAAAATTTTTAGTCGGCACCCCCTTTTTTAAGTCCGTTGTGGAACTTTTGGAAGGCCCTTTGTTGGGGCCCTTCTTTCCTCGGCATGGCTTCAAAAGGGAAAACAAAAGCTACGGTTTTTGTAAAAAGTACTAAATAGTAGACTTTAAATGCTGGATGGTAGGAAAGTTTTGGCAAAAAAATTATCCAGGATTTTCCGCATTTTTCTCAGATTAACTGCACGACGTAAAAACGGCCTTTTCCGGCCTTTTCTCATCAGGAGGGGTCAAAATCTGATTCTTTTGTGATGAGACATAAGTCAATCTTGGCTAGACTTTCCCGTCAGACCAAACCGTCGCAAGACTTTAAATCAAAGGGATTGGCTTTCCAATTTTAGCGTTGAGCCCGCAGCTCTTCGTTTCTACACCAGTTGCTGCTCTCTAATAACCTAACCTAGCGTTGCGGGCGTCGAGCGTGAAAAATTCATTTTTCGAATTGGTCCGTGTCTGGATGTGGCAAATTAAGTAGCTTGTTCACTTCCAAACATGACAAATCCAAAGGGGGGCACGAGGGGGCAAAAATCGCGCAATCTGTGTGCACGGCCCCCGAAATAAGCGAATCATTGGAAACAGGAAATCAAGAATCCGAAATCAACCAAAATCCTAAATTGACCGAAATCGGGCAGAATACCGAAACAAGGCAAAATCGGTCCGAAATCATTTCTTTCCGAACACAATCACACACAATCACGCTCAACATCACCATGGTGCGTCGCGAAATAAGGCGAATCAGCCATGAAATCATTGCGTTTTCCGAATCATGTGTACACGAAAATCCCCGAGTTTTTGCCCCCTCGGGGGGGCATGACATGTTATCCTGCCCGTTTTAACGTACTGTTTAAGAATAGTAACCCGCAGGATTGAAAATGTGTAATTTAAATTTCTTGCAGACCTGAACGCGACTGACAGCGGGGTTTCCGCATCCTGCGTTCCGGGGGGCTTCGGGCAAGTGGCAGTGACCTTCTCGAGCACCCTGTTCCGGTGGTCGTGGAAGAGGCCCGACTTCTACCGCATCGTCGTCATGGAGGGGCAGAGTGACTTGAGCAGGACCTGCCGAGAGCTGCCCCTTGACAGGACCATGATCAAGGGCGTCGTCACCACCCTTGAGCGCCCCTTCCTGGCGACAGACGCGCGGTGGAATCCATTCAAAGGTACACTATATTTGGTCTAGCTACACCGGCACTCAAAGACTTCCGGGACCATGCCAGCACGGTGAAAACGGTTCCTGGTTTTCCCAGGAACTCATATATGTCTCTACCACAGGCAAGACCACAGGCTTCCTGGGAAAACCAGGTACCGTTTGTACCGGAGAGCACACTGTTGAGTTTGCATGTATGGTGTCCTCTTGGCTCATTGAGACGCAGGCCGGCCCTGTGCGAAATACGTTGTCTGGTTTGTTTTTTGCAAAGGCGAATGGTCCCTTATTCTGCGAAAAGGAAGTCTCAAAATCGGTGTGCCTTAGCCTCATAAGTGCTCCAACAACAGCGAATGGGTGTCTCCGCTGCGAAGGCCACACAAAAAGTATCGCCTTTGGATTTGGGGGAGGAACATTCGCTGGACCAACACTTACAAGTACACACTTACAGATGCATGCACGAGAGCATTTATCTACAGTTGTGTACTCTGGCAAAATAAAGCGTAACTCTATGCTTGAGTCAAGCATAACGCTTCAAGATAAGACGCTTGACATAAAGCATAGGCTGGAAATTCCCCCCATACATTTAGATAGAGGGAAACTTGGCGGATGAACCCATTACCCATTACGCTTGATTTCAAGCGTAAACTGATTACGCTTGAAAACAGAGGGTAGTACTAATACTACGCTTTAGTTTTACCAGTGTTAGTACCGCGAGTCGTTAAGCTCCCGACAGCCATGCATATCATACTCATGCTTTCGACCAGGCCCGCGCGATTGATCAATTAACTTTTTTCAACAATCGGTTTCTTTTGAATTATCGGTGTCTTTCGATTAATCGTGTGCGTTTTCAACAACCGATTACACTCTACCAAAAATGTCCTGTAAATGCCGTTAATTTATTACCAGTTTTCACTGTAGGTCAATTCACAGCGTTTACTGTGATCTGCTCACGGGATTCACTGTGATCTTGTTAGCGGTGTTCACTGTGATCTGGTCCCCAGTAAACACTGTGAGTTTGACGCCGCTAAGCACCGAAGTACTGCAAATCAGGCTCCAATTCACGGCGTTTACTGTGGCCAGATCACAGTGAACACTGTAACCGAGATCACAGTGAACGCCGTGAACTAGTTCACAGCAAACGCCGTGAATTGCATAACAGCAAACATTGGTAATAAATTAACGGCGTTGACAGGACATTTTTTGTAGAGTGTACCGAACCACTAATTTAACCTAATCGAGATTGTTTCATTCATCGAAGGATTACGATTGTAACCAATAATCGACTAGGCCTTCTTCCGACTACAGGTACGAACTCGACGGAAGTGACGTTCATCATCGGCGGCAGCGACAACGCCTGCAACAGCACGGACAGCAGCACTTACGCTGCGCTGTTTTGCAACAGGGCGCTCACGCCGGGCAAAGTGTACACGGTCTTCGTCCAGGCGGTCATCGCCGTGCCCCACATGATCGTCACGGCGCCCCTGGTGGCCGTCACAGTACGCTTCGATGGCCTCACAGACGAAGGCAAGTGCGCGCGCCACCATCTTTGCTCAAATCCAGTGCAAGGGCGGATCCAGGGACGGGTTGGGGGGGGGGAGGGCGATGTCGCGAAAGTTGCCGAACCACAGGGGTAATCTGCGACTTTTTGCCTACCTTTCAGGCGGATCCCCGCCGGATCCCCGGATCCCCGCCTGAATCCAGTGACGAATCCAAGGGGAAATAACTCCATTTGTACACCGACATTCATAAAACATGTAAAAATTTATTGGAATTCATCAATATTTATAAAAATTCATTGAAATTCTTCTCAAAATTCAGAAGGTTTTTGACTGAAATTCATCGCAATTCGACTGAAATTCATTGGATTTGTACACTGAAATTCTCAGTGATTTCCCCTTGGACGAATCCAAGCACTTTGAGTATACATCGTCATTCAAACTGTAAATGTTGTGCAACGATAAGGCAACGTTTTGTAACAATTCCTACTAAAAGCTGCATGAAAAAAACTGCTAGCAAAATTTCGAAACACAAGTAAAAGTACAACACTGAAATGAAAGAGGTACAATCACGGCAAACAA